TACATGCATGCAATGAAGAAAACGCATGTTTGTACGAATTTCCACTCGTCGTTATCATAAAGATATCAGCTCTTTATATCTTATCACCTCACTCTCACCATTCGGAATGAAGAGAGATAGTATAGTGGCTACTAGCTAGTAGCTAGCAGCCGGTTGGGGTCGGCATGGGCCTAAGGGGCGCCAATGGGCCTAATTGGTTAGCTTAAAGCGGAATTCTTGCCGATTTTCACTTTCTAAAGGTAGCGCAGCCTCCGCAATCTCCTTCCGGATCGTCTGACACATTTGAAAGGTCATAGCCTTATTTTATCGCGGAAAGTGCCTTTAAGTGCCAATATCTTTTCCCCTAAGTTGTGAACTGTAGCATTTCTGCCAACGTTAGGATTCTCACCTAACCAAGTCTTCAGGTCTCAGTGTACCATTTAACAGAGCCAATTCACGAAGCTGGAGCTTTCTTAATTCATTCTGTCCGTCTGGAATAGCTGTAGCTTCCGCAATTATAGTACGAATCTGAAAAATGGTGAGGCCATTCGATGAAGTATCAACTTGCTACTCCAATCAGTGAGAAACATACCTTATCACAAGCTTTCTTTATTGTGGCTTGATCCGTTCCAGGTCACATAAGCATGAAGGGGCTCATTTTCACCGGGCATCGGACCCATTCTGCTGCCTAGTTTCCCTTCTTTTATTGAACCTTTGCCTCTGAAAAATATGGATATTCATATAAGAGGACCAGCAGTCACTAGGAAACGAAAGGGATCATAATTATAGAGACGTCTACCTGATAATGATTTTCGCGCCCGTTTCGGCTTCCAGACTCTTCAACGTATTGCCTCGTGGGCCGATCAACAACCCAACAAAGTTCAGCTCAGGATGGCTTTCTTGAGGTATCCACACCTTGTCATGAAGGCGGATGTTCGGTGCGCTACAAACAAACTTGGTGGTTTTTTTTTCGACAAGAAGAGTATAGTTTTATTGGAAAATAACAAAACAAACCGATAATCGGCAGGTGGTTTGAAGTTCGGATTAATCTTCAACAACGCTTGAATCTTTTCATGACGTAACTGCTCCAACTCTTGTCGTTTACGGACTTCTCTTGTATTCAAGCGCTTACCATTACTGTCATATATCGGTTCCGGTGAAGGACTTCTGAAATTGACAGACTCAGTATTACAGTTACTGGGGTACAGTTCTAATAATTTATTATTTCTTGAAATAATTTTATGTCGCAGCTGAGAGATCCCATGAAGCTAAAATGTTTGATTATAAGTTAGAGCAGCTGAAAATTTTGCGTTAAACGATGCATCCGTTGAGTAAGGGTCTTGGAGTGCAGAGGATCTAAACGCTAAATATTATTAGGATTAGGATTAGCAGCTTCGGCATCAAAACAAATAAAAAGCCAAATTCACGCCTGAAAAAAACGAGATTAATCTTTCCAATACGAATCGATCGGGATTAGGTCATGGCAGCATTGAACAAGAGAGAATGCACTCACTATTAAGCATTTATTGCCCCAATGCTCAGAATTTAACCCAGATCTTAATCGAAATTCTACTTCAGGGTATATCAGGCCTAAATTCTTCTCCCGCATATTCCTGCCAAGACAGATGTGAAAAACTGTTCAGAGCAGAGTGTTCAAAGCAATCACTGTTCCTGTCATCGAGGAAAGTTTCGGCATATATGACCCCCAGAATTTCCTTCTCTAGTACGACCCCCTTCCCCCTTCTCTCCATCCCTCATCCTACCCACCAACTTTCTAATTTTCTAACCATCCCCCTTCGCCCTAGCGACCAAATACGACCCCCACCCTGGGGTCCCCATTTCCGACATGCCCAGATTTAGAGGGTAAAGCAACTCCTGGGGGGCGAAATTGCACCCTGATATACACCGCGTGAAATTTCGAGCTAAATTTAACACGAAGACGACAATCGCGTTTAGCGAGGAAAGCGCCGCATGGGACAATGGCGTTTTTTCGCATGCGTCAGCTATGACCCACCGCTGGCTCATATTGCCCCTTGTGGACCACTTTCTTGTCTCTGTTTCAAATTAAGTATTGAGCACTCCTGCAGGAAGTGCTGATCCTTAACCACGCTGGAGACCGCCCCGTCTCCTCGATCACGCCAACTATCAGCGAAACCGTGATTTTTCAACGTACATTTTACATCATCTGCTTTTGTCGCTTTTCTGCATTTTTGCTTTTTTACATTTACTCAATAAATAGACGGCCATACCAGCATACTTTTTCAGCGTGGGCGCTAAAGAGCTCTGCTAAGGCTGAGCCCAGGAGAGTGTAGTTTCTTTCCCCCTCCCCTGCCAGATTCTTCGCGTTAGCTAGCGCCTGAACGCTACCTTATCAGGAGATCAGACATTCACAGTGCGCACGTTTACTTCGATTTCCGCTATAAGGTTCTGGCGCCAAGTTGGCGTCCACTGGCGCCACATGCCACATGTCAGCACCAAAAACGAAAGACATCTTCGCAGTAAGCGTGTCAAATATCCCCAGGATGGAACTTTATATGGAATTCAGTGGCAAAAAAAGCTATCGGCGCCATATGGCGCCAACACTGAAAGGGAGTAAATATCTCAAATGAGGATGTCAAATAATGCAGGTGTAGGATATATCGAATTGAGTGCCAAAAAGACAGCTAGCGCCAAAATGGCGACAAAACGCGTTAAGTTTGAAATCAGAGCCCCGAGCAGTTGCCACAGTTAAGGTTTGATCCAAAAAGCAGTATTTTTGAGGTTTCTTGCATAACACTAGCTACCAGTTTTCAGTTTAAAATATTTCATAGAGACGGCAACATATCTCCCCGCTGGAAGTTCAGCTTTCACAAGTCATTAGAATGCAAGAAAAAGACTGGAAGAATTCGATGGCAGTAACCCAGAAAGTGGTGCAGAAGTTGATGAGCTACAGTGGCTCATAATGTCGTCAACGTGTTAAATTCCAAGAAAAAAGAATCGGTGAAGAGAAAACAGCGTCAGAAAGAAAGATGCTTCTGGAAAATTTGAGATGCTCCTCAGAAATCATCCCCTACATGTCTCATATGTGCCCGCTACTACTTCTATTCAAAGTCTCAACAACCATCAGAAAGGTAGCGATCTAACGCGCAATTCTGCTAAGAGCACGTTCATACTTCCACGATCGCTTGCATTAACTGATCAGATCGCTCGAGCGATTAGATCTCGAAGTATAAACGCGCTCCAAGACTCCTTAAAAGTTATCTTGAGCCTAATATTTTTGACAAACATTTTTGAAAAGAAAAATTAAAACAGAAACACTTCTCTGCCAGGACGACATCACACGATGAATGCACAAGCACCGTACATGCTCACCATACGGTAGCCGCACGTAATATGTGCTGTGCTTGTCGTGTGAGTGATGCGCCTGAAACGCATGAGCATAGTGTCTGCTACTTGCGACTAGCCTTTGCGCTGGATCAGTCGGACCAAGAAAATCGCCCAGTCTCAGTTTGCGTGTGGCGTCTTCAATCTCCAGTTGCACTGAAATCACGGCCAAGCCGCGAATAGATTAGTAAAAGTACCAATACTCAATCAAACACATCAATGAATGATAATAAAGACCTTCAAAATATTATATAAAACTATCAAAAAGATTTCACTCTTCTTTTTCTTGAAGTACATAATAAGGCAAAACAAAAATGTAATGATAAATCCGAAAATCGATAAAAATGAAACGAACGTTCAGAAAATATGGTGGCAAAGGTTAAATGACTAAAATTAGCAAAAAAAAATAATGATCGTGTAAATAACAACATACCTGGCTCAACTTACCTCAGCAAAGTGCTCCCCAATCCCAATCTTTTTTATTTTATCATGGGAAGCCAATTCTTGTAGGAAAAAAATTTAAGAGCAAAGTGGAAAACTCACGAAGATAAGCAGTACGCTGATCATCCGAAAGATTAGACGGTAAGATAGTGGGCATGCCTGGGACAAAACTTTTTGTCACAGACCAACGTGACTTGCGTTCACGTTTTCGTCCGGCTTCAACCAACGCCGAGTCGTTGCCTAGCATTGCATCCGGGCCGGAAGCAGCTGAACAATAACGCTTTGTAGAGCCCTCAGATCTCAATATTCGGTAAAACAAAATCGCAGCAAGAAATGTAAAGCACTGCGCTTAAGTTCATATAAAGCGTGGGAATGTGCAATTCGTAGAAAAGGCGATCGAGAAAAAAAGAACAAAAAGGAAACGCTTTGGTGCCTATACAGCGCTGTTCCTTGTGCTTATGAGGACACAGAGAGAGAGAGAAAGAGAAAGAAAGAAGAGAGAGAGAGAGAGAGAGAAAAAAAATTCAGTGCGGCGCTCTTCGTGAACTGTCTACTATTTGGCACTCAATCGCTCTTTCTCTGTTCCTTACGCGACTAGCTGAACTTACTAGCGAGGATTTAGCTGAGTTAGCCAGTTAATTAAAGGCAAACTGTCCTCTTATCCGTGGATTTTAGTCCTTGCTAGGTAGGAGGTGAGTGGCTCAGCAGCTGCACTAACAGCCGCTTTCTCCAAAATATGCCGTCTCTATACTCCACCCGTGCTAACAACACGCCTATCCATGGCCAAGCGTGGTATTGTTTGCACCCCTCCCTCTCCTGGCTGTTCTGTTTAACTGAATGTGTGTATTTCTTCCAAATCTTGGTAACGACGCAAGTGCTGCACATGGATCATAGCGCGGCTGGAGTACGGAGATAGCACCCGGGTCTCACTACCCTCCAACCCGGTTCCTGTACATTTCTGAGCGGACAAAGTGGCAGCTCCCCCTCGCAGATGGCACGTACGGTCGCTAGGGGTAGGGTACAGTTTGCTTTCAATAACAGCAGCATTTCCAACAAAACGAAAATCATCTGTTAAGCAAAAATACTTACCAAGATCCGACCGCATCAGTGGATTTATGACAGGTTCTTTCATGACAGGAACTAATGCAGGTTGAGGTAGTGGCGCAGGTGGAGATCTGTCACGATCGCGATCACGATCACGGTCACGATCGCGATCCCTGCAACTCATTTTCTTGGCCAAATTTCTCAGAAGTCAATAAGTAACGAAAAGAAAAGGCCATACCTGCTTCTGCTACGAGATCGTCGTCGATGATCACGAGATCTGCTTCTTCTTCGTGAACGGCTCCTTCTCCTCTTATGTCGGTCGCGATCACCCGAACGTGATCGTCGACGACGTTCACGACGCTCTTTTCGGTCACGGGAGCGACTTCGACTGCGATCACGATGTGAGTGCGAAGAAGTGTCATGTTCTGATGAAGCTACTGCTGAAAAAAATAACATTTTCGTGTGAAGCAACAACAATTCGTATAATACTTACACTCAATGGTAGGTGCTGGAGCAGTGTTGGCATTATCATCGGAGCCGCTCGTTGCCGCAGCGCCCCATTTTCGCACAAACGGCATCGGTTCGGTATTTCCGCCTGTTTTGCTACTCATGCTGTGAGAAATTATGTAATAATATACAAGCCCTTGATGACAAACAACAAATTGAACTGCAAGTAAGCGAATGTGCGAGGCGTCAAACCGTTTCATAAAACATAAAGGAACATTGAGATCATTTACTTCGCTCGCAACAACAACAAAAATAAAACGTCAACAACATAACATCACTGGAATAATCGAAAAATTACATACAACCCTACAGTGATACACGATTCGGAATGCAGAAATTGGCAGGTATTAATTAAGCAGCTTCTTTCTGCGGCTCCGCTTCTTTCTGCGACTCCACTTCCATCGCGGCCTGAGGATCCGAATTTTCTTCGTCTTCTTGGGCGGCTGTCTGAGGGACTGGATCAAGTTCACCGCATTCCACAATTTTCACCACCATTTGGGGCTTTCCAGATGGTGTGCCCTGAAGGATGTTGCATAAACAAGGTTCCTCGCTCCAGGGAAACTGTTAAAAAAAACTGATGTTTGGGTAGCTCTGACCACCACCCTCTGTTCGACGTAATTATACTATTCCCTCAGGGTGGACCCAAAGCCAGACTGTGAGAATAGGGAATACTTAAAAGGATAAAAGGATAAAGTCTCCGCCGTTGATCAATCCCTTTGTGGGATGCGGCACGCATTCTACTTCCATTCAGAATCGTAGTGGCTTATTGAATGCGATGTGGCCTATACAATGACTTGCGGTGGCCAGCCGATGTACAAGTCAGTGTTTTATCCTCCCAGACGAATCTGGTACCAATTTACCGTCCCCGGAGGGTAGAAGGCTTGGTTGGCCTGGGCGGGAGTCGACCCGGGATTCGAACCCAGGACCGCGCGAGTGGTAAGCGCGCCACTTGTCACTACACCACCTCCGCCTGAGGGAATACTTATCATCCGAAAATCTGGTTATAGGCTTGACACCTTCCACTTTCTTTCTACTTCTTCAGTTGCCCAATGGTTAGTGCACGCTGAATTTGTCCGTTTCAATGATGTTCCGCGGTTACGGTCATCTAGGCCTTCTGACTAGAGATCGTTTCTCCTAACGTTTGTGCTTCTATGGATAATAAACAAATAAATCACCACTGCAAAGCAACCAACAAAATGATCACCTGTTGCTCTATTTGTCGAACAACGTTCATCCCTTCTACCACATGTCCAAATACTACATGCTTCCCATCGAGCCAATCCGTCTTCTCAGTACATATAAAGAACTGCGACCCATTCGTATTTGCCCCGCAGTTTGCCATCGAAACAGTACCAGACATCAGATGTTTCAACTAAATTAGCGAATTAAAGTCACATAAAAACAATAATGAAGAACGAGTGATTGAATAGGCAATCACGCCATAAAGGTCCAGACATCAGGGATCTTTAGCCTTTATCAAACATACCTTAAAATTCTCATCCTCAAATTTAGGTCCATATATCGACTTTCCTCCGGTACCGTCTCCCTTCGTAAAATCTCCGCCCTGCAGCATGAACTTCGGGATTATACGGTGAAAAGTAGAACCTGAATAAAAGCGATTAGAACCAAATACAAGAATAGGACCAGCGCTATTACACATATTGAAGAAACATACCTTCATAACCAAAACCCTTTTCGCCTGTACATAAACATCGAAAATTCTCTGCTGTTCTCGGGACAACATCAGAGCGCAACTCAATTACTATCCGCCCAATATACCTGTTATGAAATGAGTGAGATGACAGTTCACGTGAGATTGTCTTCACTTACGTTATGACTTACCTAATACCGATCTTAACACCCAGATACACTCGAGGCAGTCCTTTTGCTGTTTTAGCTGTTCCATTGCTTTCCTTCGCATCTGCAATGCCACTGCCTTTTCCATAACGTTTAAGCCACTCATCGTCGGCCCATACAGGTCGAGTGGACCGCTCCGTAGCTTTTGGCGGACGGGCGAAATTACACCTAAAGTAAATACGTTACAGAGACAGAAATAATCGCGTGGATCCCCTTATCACTGGAAGCTGTAAGATATGTCGAAAAATATGAGTACCATCCGCCCACTTGCTCGTATTACCTGCATGGAATACATATCTGGGACAGCCAGAATTGTAATATTGGCAACAAAAAGGGCAAAGGTAAAAGTCTCTGCCGTTGATTAATCGCCTTTTTGGAATGTAGCTCGCATTAGGCCACGTTCATAGCTTGCGACCGTGAAGAAATGCAGAAAAGCGGAAACTGCAGAAGTGCGGAATCTGCGGAAATGACGAAAAGCAAAATATGCATATCGATTTGAAGAAATGCAGAAAGGGAATCTGCAGAAATGCAAAATGCCGAATTGCGGAGAAATTATACGTATCGGTAGCTTTTCGTCATTTCTGCAGATTCCGCATTTCTTCACTTCTGCAGTTTCGGCATTTCTTCAGATCGATATGTATGTAATGCTTCTTCGTCATTTCTGCACTTTCCGCATTTCTGCATTTCTTCAATCGATGCGTATATCAATGCTTTTCGTCATTTCCGCAGATTCCGCATTTCTTCATTACTGCATTTCTTCATGGTCGCAAGCTATGAACGCGGCCTTAGTTCGCATGCTCTTCCACCAAAAATCGCTACTGTACTTTAGAACGCAATATGACCTGAAAATTACTTGGCGCCAGCCGAGCACAGTTCATTTCAATTCAGTTCTCTTATCCTGCCAGACATGGAACTGAACTGCTGTTCCGGAGAGTAGAAGACGCAGTTAGCCTAAGGGGGAGCCGATACAAGAACCGACCTTCGGAGCACGCGCGCGATAAGCATGTTATTAGGTTGTCCGGAAAGTTCTCAGCGTTTTGTGTTACTATTTTTGTACATTCATTGCTGATTAAAAACTCATTCTCCCTTGCGTCTCAGTAGTACATCCTGAAGAAATTTTTTGCGCTATCTGATGGTATAATTGCCGTTTCACCATTGCTTGATTGACCCCCTTTTTAAGAGTTTTTCAAGCATGTCAAAAGAGCAACTTCGGACGATATTTTTCTTCAACTAAAAATTGGGTCAATCCGCAGTCGAGACAGCTCGACAAATTAACCAGGTGTGGGGCCCAATAGTGTTGGAGAAAGCACGGTTCGACAAATTTCGTTCTGGAGATTTCAGCCTTGAAGATGAACCTCGTAGCGGTCGACCTAAAGCACGACGAAGATTTGAAGGCATTTGTGGAGGGTGACCCATCCCAAACAGTTCGAGAGATTGCAGAAAAGCTAGGCGTTGGCAAATCCACTGTTGCGGATGGTCTGAAACGCATTGGGAAGGTGAAAAAACTCGACAAGTGGGTGCCCCACAATTTGAGTGACCGGCAGAAATTGGCACGTCTCGAGGTTTCTTCTTCACTGCTTTTGCGCAACAGAAACGACCCGTTTTTGGCCGAATTGTCACCTGTGATGAAAAGTGGATCATGTATGATAACAGGAGACGTTCCGGACAGTGGTTGGATTGAACCACCGAGGTAATTTTCAAAGCCGAACCCTCACGAAAAAAAGATTCTGGTCACGGCTTGGTGGTCATCGGCTGGTGTGATCCACTATAACTTTTTATCACCAGGCCAAACCATCACAGCAGAGTCCTACTGTGAAGAAATCGACGAAATGTACCGAAAATTGCGTCAGCTGCAGCCAGCACTTGTCAACAGAAAGGGTCCGATTCTTTTGCATGACAACGCCCGCCCACACGTTTCACAAATCACTATCCATAAATTGAACGAATTGGGGTTGAAGTTCTACCTCACCCGCCATATTCTCCAGACCTTTCACCAACCGACTATCACCTTTTCAAACATTTTCAGAACTTCCTTGCTGGAAAATACTCAAAATTAGGCCATCCAAAAAAGCCTTCGTAGATTTCGTGGATTCTCGACCACCCAGTTTTTTCTTTGGTGGGATTTGTCGACTGCTTCACATTGGCAAAAGTGTGCTGATTCGAATGGTGCTTATTTCGATTAAATCCGATGAGTATTAAGAAAGTTATGATCGTTTAAAGTGAAACACTCGAAAACGCTGAGAACTTTCCGGACAACCTAATACTTGCCACTACAACACCAGATTTTTGCGCCAGCGCCCATTGCACAAGAACCATGGATTTTTGCGGTAATGGTAAGTGACGCTGGTGTTCATGTGGCTAACTCTGGTCTCTACCTGGAACACTTGCATATCCAATTTTATTAAAATGAACATTCAGATAAAATGTATCCTTTCAACTGCCACCAGAGAAGTTATGATGTTTACTTCAGTCTAGAGGCAGTCATTTAGAAATACAAGTATCCGAAGAAGGTGGAAGAAGTAGAAGCATAGAAGAACAGCAAGCTTTACAAGACCTACCTGATTGTTCGTCCAAACAATTCGCTCTCATTCATATTATCGATCGCTGCTGCTGCATCTTCCGGCAGTTCAAACTCCACGAAGCTGAAAAAGCGCCATTTTGTTCGCAATTTAGTATGCCTGTACAATTCTGGTCCCTCAAGCAAAGCTATAGTCGGCGACGCCAGCAATAGCAACTGGAAACAATTCCCGCGATCGAATGGTCCGCGAGGTGCCTCCGTGCATTCGACATCGTTGTTGCACTCGCAAAGAATGTACCACTTTCGTCCGAAATGGCGAGATAAACGAGCTAGATATGCGCGATTATTGCAACCACAATTACTTTTACCCTACAAGGCAACGGCTTACAAGTGGAGTTGCGTATGTACATAGCGTTGCCTGGAGCATCGTAGGGCGATTTCATACGCTTCTGCCGGGAACTAGTTGCACGTCGAATCCTGCCGATTGGGCTTGCCTCACATTCAACAAACTCGTCTAAGGCGCCGGCCCCACTCATAAGGAAGGGGGGGGGGTGGGGTAAGGGTTCTGTTTGTTCCCAACGGTTTCCTTTTTTTCCCTACAGTGGAGCTAGTTATGGACTACTTGTTCAGGATTGGGCACCTACCACCCGCACCACTTGATCGCGGGAATCGTCTTCAAGTAGCGCTTATACTTGCTCTGAAGGTTTAAATCACGCTGCAAGGGAGAATCCAGAATTGAATAAGGGAGCGTTGTCCTTAGGAGATTTATTGTGGTTTCAATTCCAGCGCTTTTGGCGGCGATTTGGCGCTTAGACTTTTTGCCTAGTTGAGAGGTCCTCTCGTTAGTCCTTCTCCTGCAATGCTAAACCTACCCCGCCGGCCACGTCCCGTCATAAGCAACGAACGCGACTGTGTCCCTAACTACATTATGATTGAATCAACTACTTTGAATTCATAAACAAAAATAAACGTACCCAAATCCTCGATGTTTCCCTGTCTCGTAATCCATTGGTATAGAAATTGCGACGATATCCCCAAATGTAATGAAGGCCGCCATCAAAACCTTGAAAAACCGAGCTGATTGAGCGTTCACAGAACGTGGATAAGTCACAACCTTTCAAGGTAGCCATCAAACCTTCTCTGTCACCTCCTCGCCAAATCCTCCAACATATAGTGTCCTTTTCTTGTTGTGAGGGAAGTTTGAAGTAGCCATCTGATAAAATGAGCATCGATCGGTCCACACTCCTTTCTTCAGCAAAATGAAGAAATAAAATTGAAACGATAGCAAGGTTATAAAACCTCCAATGAACCATTAATACAGTATTTATTCAAATATTCATTAGAACTCCGTAGTTCGTGAAATGTGATGTAAAAAATGATCATTATATGACGCACAACACTTGTAACAAATGGGATCAATCTTACAATCGGTAGACAAAATCAGGTCCCAAAAACATGCTATGAGAGAAATCGCCGGAAATAAACAATAGGCATTTTACACGATTCTGTTTAATCTTAATAGCGTCTGCGATCTCGATCACGACTGCGTCTTCTCTCTCTATGAGGGGATCTATCTCGTCGCCGTTCCCTTTCATGACGATCTCGATCACGTCCTCCGCTTGGTGGGATTCCGCGAAGGGATGGGTAGTGACCCGCTGAGTCGGCTCTGAAAAGTAGCTGTTATAATATACCAGTAGTTTCGCGCCAGTTACCCTCTGCTGTCTTGCTTTCCAAGTTCAGGCTGGATTCTGATCAAGATTTCCTCCTAGAAAAGACTGGGCTCGAATTTCGGCTAAAGACAATTTAGTGACATTTTTTTTCTGCAGGAAACTGCATGGCGTCCGCAACAACACACTGAATCACCAAATTGGGTAAGGACTTGTCTGCAAGGATAGATAAGCTAGGTGACACGAATACCACACCTGATTAGCGCTAACTTCACAGCACCTGCGCTGTGGGCACCGGCACCCAAACCTGCCTGACGGCGCGGGCGCCGTTGGATGTGAGAGCTGTATTCACGAGGTTGAACCACGATCAGAGCCAAAGTTTCGCCCAAATCTACACAAGGGAAACTCTACCCTGAATTTCGAATAGTGGAGCGACAAATGTTACATAAAGTCGCAAGACTGCAGGCACCCGAAAACTCTGAGTTTGTTACTCTTCTGGCAAGTTCCTCTGAGGTAGAGGACAATTTCTCACACGAAATTTACCAACACATAAAACATGCGGTGGGGCAGGGGTGTAGTTCAGTACTTTCGACCGAGGGGACCACTCGCACTAGTACCCTATTCACTCAATGTGGCCAGTGTTACAGTACATCAAATCAACCATCTGGGGAACACCCTACAGACTTGTTCCCTGCAGACGCTGGGGCGTGGCAGGAGGGCTAGGTCTGGCACGGTGCCAGCCAGTTTTCCGAAAATTGTAGGCGCCTATCGCTTTCACGATTGGTGGAGAATGAGCTGGCGCTACGTCAAACCTAACCCCGTGAACCGCCTGCAACGAACGACACCATTGGTTCGCGCGATGCTGCGCCTCAGCTATTCTATATTACACCCAAGGGAAGTGGAGCAAATTCTCCAACCCAAAAGTTCCAATAGCTCAACCACTTCTGACCTCGAGATTTAGAAATAAGCGCAGCTTTAAAAAGGAATGACAGAACTGTACCTTCGGCCACGTCTTCCGAACAATTTTTCTCCAAGGGCAGGACTGACGGCTTTCAGGTGCATGAAATTGCAGAATCCTCCCTTGGAGCAGGTGATCACTTCATGTTGACGGCAACGAGACTCCCGAAAGTCTGTTACTGGACATAACTCCGCGTAGATTGGAGCTCCATTGAACCTTGAAAAGGACCTTATTTGCTTCTAGAAGCATTTTGATACAAACGATCTGGAAAAAAAATGAAATCCACGGCTGTTAAGCGCATTCTTACAGTCTGCCAAAAAGGTGTAACCACAAGCACGAAATGACGCTGAGGACAACTTATTAGAGTGATGTTCTGTCGACTAAGTAGATTTGATGGTTAAATATCATGTGCCATTAAACTCAACGACGCTTACACTGCACGTACCACATGGCCAATCACCCGTAATCGGCGCTTTCCTGAACAATACCGAAATGTGTGAGTTACTCACTCACTTATGAATGCATAATTTCCTTCAACCGTCTCGAACGACGCGCGCACTGCGACAAACCACAACCGGTCATAGGATCTGAACTCTGAATGGGGGATTTTTTTCAAGTTAGGGATAATACATTGATTAGCGGCCTCGCATACCCAATGTATCAATTTCTACAATGTTCCCTGAACAGTGGTGTCATTACGAATGAAACAAGAGCTACGAGCACGAGGAAAAACGTTTCTCTCTTATCAGTTAAAAAAATGTAAACGTTTTCGAAATCCATGGGACGAGGGAACGAAGGACCTTTTCAACTAAATAGATCGTGTAGTGGAGATGGCAGTGTAGACTATCTGAACACGATAAAATTACAAGGAATAACCAAAACATCAATTTATTCCTAATAATGCGCTCCCCAAGGATCAATGAATTTCTCTAAGAGAGCGACAGCACATGTTCAAAGCCGCACCTCTTCAAAAGAGAGTAATAAACGAAACTTAAAGACAGCGCTCGCGATCAACCAACGAGCAGAAGCCCCTCAGTGTACACGGCGGAGTTCGCGACCACAGAGCGTATCGAAATCAAACGCGTTAGATGAAATTAGACGACTTAGCGACGATAACCTGGCCCGCCTCCACAATTCGTATCCCCTTTGTCACTTCTTTCTTATCATTACTTTATAACGGTGATATGCGCTTAATTTTTAGCGCTGATTTTGCCTACTGCAGCACTGCTCATTTTTTCCATTGGAATCATATTACAGTTCATGACATCTATTAATAATTATAATTCTGCCAATTTTCACGGTTTGCAATGACGTCATCCACATCGTCGCCACCGTCGTAGTCTTTCTCGCTGCGATAAAGGGGCAAGTCAGCCGGGCTTTGTTTGGCGCGGCCCAAACCATACTCGCTTGCTGTAGCCGTTTCAACAACTGGTGGAGATCGCGACTGGCGCTGCGCCAAGCCCCACGCCAATTATAACCCGCCGCGAACAAGACACAATGATACAATGCCTTCCGGGAGAGCAAAAGCTCTTGCACTGGCCCACTCTGAAGCGGCTATGACAGAACCGAAGTCGGTTCCATAATTTGGTCATTTTTTTCTCAATTCTTGTGAATAACTGGCCAATAATTCTGTTTATGAAACTTCTAATATTTTCAAAACAAACCAGTGGGAAACGCAAAGAAATTCCACTATAATTTAGGCGGAAGGTTACTGCTAGAGCTTCGACTCCAGCATACAGATCTATTACCATCTCCATTCACTTCAGTTAATCTGATCGATTACTCCCCTGTTTAACTAATCAGTTGACATAGAGGACTCGCCCAAAGCTGATTAACTCGTCCATTTTTGAGTCCCCTCCCAATGGGATCTCATTTGGATCTTTTCAAAGGCCCCGTTGGCTCTTTTCTTCATTACATTCTCCTGACCACATGATTCTGAGCCCCACAACCTGCAAAAGGCGATCGCGGGCGCCGTCTCTAAGGAAAAATAGTCCGTTGGTGACAATTTTAAGCAAACTGGAAAAAATAAACGTACCAGCGATTGTCATTAAGGTCACGGCATGCCTTGTCTGCATCTTCTTCTCGCATAAATTTCACATACACATTGCCGACCATATGCTCGCCAATGTTTTCGCACACGTTAATTTCTTCCACCTCGCCATACTTAAAGAAAAAAAGTTACGATTTCTTTGGTGTGCCACGTTCGCACTTTGCGATTGTGTGAATTCTGGGATGTGGAGAAGTCCACGACCTGTAGAAATCGCACATAGGAAAGTATGAGTATCATCTGGAAAATCTCAGCTTCGAAGAATGATCGTATCGTGGAATTAAACAGAAGATCAGTCTAGTGCCTTCACTCGCTGACTCTCTCGATTCCCTCCTATTCTACTATGATGCTAGAGACGGCACTCTATCAATTCTTACTCCTTGGACCCTTCTCTTACGCACAACCTTCAGATCTTACTCACACTTTCCTTTTTCTCTTTATGGCACTACAAAATTGGCTAAAAAATTTCCCTGGGGTAGTTCGACCTCCTGAACATGAATATCACATCCGCTCAGCTCGAACCCCCCCAAGATCGGAAGACGCCGAACCGTGGGCCTAATCAAGCCATCCAATCAAGTGAAGGCTAGAGGAAATATGAAGAGGACATTTACCATACCTAGATTGCCGACGAGGGTC